TCAGGATTTTTCGCTGTCTCAGGATTTCTTAAATTTTGTCTTAGGATTATTCTGCTGTCTTAGGATTATTCTGCTGTCTTAACTTTTGCACCTGTGTCTCAGGAATTTTTGCAAATCTAATCCTAAGATCCGAGGCTGGGGGAGGCCTATAGTACTGCCTGCTGAAAAATTGTTGGCCACTTTAGTCATTTCCTCGATGAATGCTTTTCCTGCAGCCCCTGAGGGAAGCAGAAATATGTTTCTTCTCCATTTGACTACAACACCATATATTCCCTCACATTGTGTTAGAACTTCCCCACTATTCCATGATCCTAATTTCAATTGAGATGGATCCCTTACATTTTCATAACCTGGGAAACAGCACTCCTTTCCCTCTTCTTCCACAATATGAGGGTCCTTTGATATTGGAGTAGATGGTTGTACACTTTCTTCGACCTGTCTCCTCAACTTTCGGATAGCTTCAGTTATGGGGTTTTCGTCTTCGTCTTCGTTGCTCTTCTCCTCCTTGCCACATCTTTGACATGACCACTCAGAATCCTCATTTTCTGCTAGGTCTTTAAACTGCAACTCCGACAGTCCACTACATGCCGCATGGAACCATCGTCCACATTTTCCTTCACATTGAATACAATCACATATTACCTCCTTTGAACAAAATCCACAGATATCAGCTTTCTTTCCAGTTTGCTTTCCTACTTTGGACCTAGTGTCCATTTTTCTTGTGTCAGGCATTCCAACCCAAAAATGGGAACCACTACTGTTGCCGAGTCGGTTACCAGCAGACACTGAAGCTTACCGCTGTCAGCCCCTACTGGATACGAGTCTCCTTAACAGTAGTGGACCCAAATTTGGGATCTGATGGAGTAGTCTCAACACCAGAGGATTTTACAGCTCAAGCAAAAAAAAAGGGAGATTAGCCTCAAAAGAAATTTAATGCTGCTAGAAAGCTTCAATAAGGTCCCCACGTATTCGCCGCTCTGCCAGCGTTGTCAAATTGAGGATTTCCAGTCTACGGCTGTAAGGAAGAGTACCCACCTCATCAATCAGACGGGTAAACCGCCTCTGGACGCTCTCCAGCTCCAAAACAGTCCCCCAACTTCCATGAGCCGCAGGTGGATTCCACAATTGGACACAATACTCAAGATGAGGTCTTATTAAAGCTTTATATATAGCAATCATAACAACCTTTTCTCTAATAACTAAATTCCTTACAATCCAACAAATCATACGATTTGCCTTAGCGATACATGCTTTGATCTGTTCGTTCCAAAGCAGGGAGCTATGGGTAATAACCCCCAAATCTTTTTCCTGTGCAGATACTTCAAGTTCTATACCATTTACCTTATAATTTAAATTAGGATTGTTGTTAAAATTAATGTGCACTACTTTGCACTTGGCAGGATTAAATTGTAAAAGCCAAATACTTTCCCAAACTTCTAATTCTTCGATATCTTCAGCAACACTACCGTGGTTAGCTGCATTACCAATTAATTTAAGATCATCAGCAAATAACTTTATCTTATTTTTTACAAGGTCAGGCAAATCATTAATATACAGAATGAATAGGAGAGGGCCTAGAACTGACCCCTGAGGAACACCAGATAAAACATGTTTAACCTCGGACCATTGTCCTTCTACAGAAACCCTCATAGTCCTGTCTGTCAGAAAATCTTTAATAACATTTAACACCTTTCCTTTGACACCAAAGCCTTCCAATTTAGACAGAAGTCTAAAGTGGGGGACTGTGTCGAATGCCTTACTAAAATCAAAGTATAGAAGATCAACCGGGGCACCTTCATCTAAAATGTCAAGAATGTCATCAAATGTCTCTAAAAGATTAGATAAACACGATTTACCCTTAACAAATCCATGCTGATGCTTCGAAATTCGATGTTCTAGAAAATTTAATACATGTGCTCTCACCAACTTTTCATACACTTTGCACAAAATACACGTTAATGAAACTGGTCTATAATTTAAGGGGTCCGATTTAATACCCTTTTTAAACAATGCTACAACAGATGCAGATTTCCACACTGCAGGTAAAGATCCTGTATCTGAACACTTTTGAAATAATTTAGTCAATGCTTCAACAAAATTGTTGTCATAAGCTAGCGATTTCAACAACTTCGGATGAACACCATCCGGACCAGAACTCTTAAAAATGTTAAGCTTTAAAAGTTGCTTTTTTATATCAGAACTGCTGACTTCCATATCATCAATATCATCAATACTCTCATTGTCAGGTCTTAAATTCTCAGTTTTAGGGAGAGGGCCAGGTGGTTCACGCACAAAAACAGAGCTAAAGGCACTTGCGAGTACCTCAGCTGACTCAGTTGAACTATCTGTGCGTGTACCATCTCCTCTATCTAAAGAAACCACACTTGATTTAATTTGACGTTTATTTCGTAAATAAGAGTAAAAAGACTTACAATTCTGCTTTAGATTAGATGTAATTTTCTTTTCATAGTTAACTTTAGCTTTAATTTCTGCTACTTCATAAGTATGTTGTTTGCTACTTGCATAACTAAAATTAACATCAGATGGATTAATATCAAACTCAGCCCATGCTTTATCTTTATTCTTTCTCATTCGTTTAAGTGCAGATGTACTCCATGGCAACTTGACAGGTCTGTTGTCGAGATAAACCGAAGCAGTTGGAACAGCTGCAGCAACAGTCTCCAGTTTACCATGTAATTCAGCCCACATATCTTGAACATCATTGGTAGAACTATAATCCCAGTCGATATTTTTCAAACTAAAATTTAATAACTCTTCAGAGGAAATCTTACCCCATATAGGTTTGACAATCTTCTCTTTTAAACATTTGCTAGTATCCGGCGAAACAACTAGTTCGACAAGTATCCCAACATGATCACTCTTACCAAGCGGAGAAACGATCTTACAACCGTTGACAAGAGCATCATTTGTATACAGGACCTGATCAAGAAGACTCTCCTGGAGAGTATCCTTCACAAGCCGTCTTCTAGTTGTCTCGTTGGTGAAATACCAAGTTAAACCACTGTCATTGAAAACATCCATGAATTTGATTAAATTAAGTGATGAAATTGTCAGAGCAGAATACACAGGTAACAGAAATTGTCCACTGTTACCAATATTATATATGAAATATCAACAGTCAAATATATATATAATACACATCTTCTCCATCATATAAGGGCAGGGATGAGGTTGTAAGAGACTTCTGATGAAGGGGTCTCATATTTTGAGTCCATTTTCTTGCATTTGTAACCTCGTAGAGCAATGACTTCTGTCCTTAACATTGCAAATCATATTCTTGTCCTCATATGCCTCACCTCGTCGCAATATCTCTCTTTTTTCCTGACTATGAGGTCCGAGCGTGCTAAATCACGATTCGAGATTGTTCTAAGAGGGCCCCCCCCCCACAGTTGAAACCAACTTCTATCGATGTATTTTCGGACGCTGATTCCGACTCACCCCCCTATGACATGCTTTTTGAGGATTGCGTTAGGGTTAGGTTTGGGATCAGATAAAAGGGTTTCGAATAGTCGTTAAGGATCAGCTTGAGAACAGGTTGAAAAATTCACGTGACAGTTGAGTGTAGAGTGATTAATTATCATTCTATGAGGTCTGATGATCTGTTTACAAACCGCTTACACTCTTTGGGTATGCCTCCAAAGTCCATATGTGAGAAATACAGCCGTGGTGAAGGTGGCATTCACCACATTCAACACTCTCCAAGTACTCATCCTTCTTCTCCTTCTCGTTCTTTTCGTATACTTCTTGAAGGTTTTCGTCCTGTTTGATAAGCAATTGGGGTGTGAAACCCTTATGTCAAGAAATGTCTTATCGAATGGAGTCCAAACTCCCCTAGCAGATACGTCAACCTGAGCTTGGTCTGGTTGAATGAAACAAGAAATTCAATGAAAAAAGAAATTTAATTATTTATATATAGGGGTATTGGCATTGAATTTCATTATCTTGTAGAGCTCAAGGTAACTGTGGTATGTATAGAGATTTTGTATAGATAGAATATTATTATACTTGAATATCGGTTTGGTGTGCTCTTTTATGGAAAATTTCCTGGTGTCTTATAGGCCTAGTACGTGCACAAGTCTTAAACTTATCAAGGTTCGCCAGCCTATCACCAAATAGTACTCTGAGACGTACTTCTGAGCGGTAAATAGTACTTCTAGCGGCTCCATGTCAGAAAACTTGATCTACAGAATATAATGCGGAGGTTGGCTGGCTCTTTTATAATAAATACGACACTCCAATTTACAGAATGCTTGTTATAGAATAAAACAAATAAATATTATCAGACTATACATGCAGCATGAGTAACTGGTGGATAAGCCCTCGGTAAAAACGGATCCGGAAAAATCATTGTGGCACTCGGGTCCTTGGTATTGTCGTCGGTATATTCATTACCTACGTTCTGCTTTCATAGTTTAAACAATAGTGAGTTCTAAACATAAATATAACAGCTTTAAACCGACTAAGTATGAATGAATGAAATACCTGACAATCTACACTCCTATAAAAATTAAAAAAGCATGAGTAACTCGTAGTGATGTATGATTTCTAAAAACTTTAAATTAAATTTGGCGCTCACAGGTCCTCATGATCATGTGATCGCCGCAAAAGGTTCTGTAAATGCGAAGGGCACCTTCGAGCTTATATTATTCACCTTACTGAGGCAGTCAACCAACGCGCGGCTTTATTTTTATGATATGATATGTTTTGATTGTTATTAATAAATACCAAAATTTAAATTTGTTTTCCTAAAAAAATTTGTTTTCCTACAGTTGAGCGGGCCTGAGCTATGGATCCGTCACGTTGGCAATGTAGGCTGAGTTCCAGCTAGTTATTGTCTCCAATACAGTCCTGATAAAGATTTTGTATTATTTCTAAATTTGATTTGTTATGTGACAAGAAATGCAATATTTGTTTGACAATCCTTATAAATTTATTTCATATTTGAAAAATAATAATGATAAATATTTAATGTGATAACCTTAGTATGAAACCATTGTCTAGTTGCTTGATAAATGGATGACTTGTTTAACGAGTTTCCTGTATCAGAAGAATTGTTCGAAGAACCAGTTCAAAGACCATCTTGTTCTGTTTGTGCTCGACCTCTGCCTGTTTGTGTATGCCATTTAATAACCAAAGAATTGCAGGTTGCAACCAAAGTAATAGTTCTTCAACATCCTGCTGAACAGAATAGACAGCTTAGAACTGTGCCTCTGCTTGAAGCTTCATTAGAGAAAGACAAATGTATGGTACTGGTTGGAAAAAGATTTAAAAATCTCGAAGAGATATTATCAGTGCCAACAGCTTTACTTTTTCCTGGCAAAGATGCCACTGATTGCAGTGAAATTATTCCTGGTACCTATAAGCAACTTATATGTCTGGATGGAACATGGCCTCAAGCTCGTAGACTTTACCAGAAGAATCGTCAATTGCACAACATTCCTAAAGTTATGTTAAATTCTCCTCGTAAGAGTGTCTATTTAATTCATTCGCAACCTACAGCACATCACCTCAGTACCTTGGAATCAGTGGCCAGAGCAATTCAAGAAATGGAAAAACTCGACGGCTTAGAGGAGAAACTGATTGCTCCTTTGAAAGAGATGGTCAGAACACAATTTAGACATGGTGCTTGTGCCCATAGTACACAGGACGAAGCTAAGGCAATTCGAAAACAACAGGTAAAAGATGGAGAAGCAGAAAAAGACTTCACCATTGCGCTCCAATTAGATAATTTTGATTATGACTCCTTTTGATAAAACTGATCATAAAACTACCAAGCTTGTTCATATTACGGCAAATTCTAGATAACTGTACCTTTTGCTTTTTGACCCTCAATTTACCGTGAACAAATTAATCAAATCATGGTCACCAGAAACCAGTAATTAATACAATTTGATCAGATTGACATTTTTTATTTAGCCAGGCTATTGCATTATATGTTGATTGGCAATGGATTTTTATATGTTTTTTTTGTGGTATTATCAAGTTGACAGAAAACTTCAGAGTCTTAATCTTGAACAAAAATAGTTAAAATTAAATGATTTACGGAGTAATACTATTTGTCTCAAATTTTGATGTTAATTAATGTTTTCAGTCACTGTTAAATTCTAAATTTTTAACCAAATTCCTGGTATCTAAACATGTTTTCATCTATAAGCTTGCAGAATATATGTATGTGTTAACAAGCTCTCCCTATGTTTCAAACCTTTTTGCGAAGCAAAAATCAGAACTGAACTTTGACTCAAACGAAGACTTCATCTTGTTTCTCCTAAGAAATACTTGCAAACTTGCTTCTTTTGGTAAGAAAATCGTTCTCAAATTTTGTCGTTGTTGTTCATTAAACATGATGAGTAACTATTTAAAAGTGTTCTCCAAAGATTACACAGTACTTAATTGATCCTCCTCCCCTATGATTAAAATAATGATATTTTTCTGTTGGTAACTTATATAATCATTATTCCCTCTACAGCAAACCAGCTAAGTCCAGTGCTCAACAAGCTACTAGACTACTCTATAACAGATGTCAACTCCCCCTGTCCCTCTAAAACACCCTCTGAATGCTCTACAAAAAGTCCCAGTAGATACAATCCTCCCAGCAGTCCACAACAACCGACTGCTTCCTCAGCTGATATTCAACAAATACTCGACACTGTCAACCGAAACAAAAAGTTTGTTTTTTTGCTATCATTTAAATTTTTCATACTGTGCTTTTAGTTTCAAGCAATACATCTATTTCCATTTTTGTACACAAAAATTATTGTCAAAATTATTGTCAAAATTATTGTCAAAATTATTGTCAAAATTATTGTCAAAATTATTGTCAAAATTATTGTCAAAATTATTGTCAAAATTTACCAGAATATACCTATTAAAGAATAATTATCTACTATCTATTCAAAGTTTTAATTCAAAGATGCTTTTCAGGGTAACTACCGAAAGTAGAGAAAGAAACACGGATGAATTAGATAGAAATCCTCACGAGCCAGAAAAAGAGGAATCTGATCACAAAGAAGCTGATGAAGAGTCAAATTTAGACAAACGAGAGAGGTTTCACAGTGACAGCAGTATCTCCGAAAATGAAGGAATGGATACTAGCTCTGACTCAGAAGATTTACCCGAACCACAAATAGCTTCATTCCAAAGTCCCTCTGAAAAGAACAGCACTTCAAAAGAAGAACCTGCCAGGAGCTCCCACCATCAGGATTCTCCTCCTAGAAGAGATAGTAGTGAAGGATCACCACAAACCTCCTACCAACCTCCCATATCACCTGATTCTAAGGAAGGAGAAGAAGAGGAGGAGCGAATGTTGTTTGACCCAGCCGATCTGATGCAGAAATCAACTGCTGCACTGCAAGTTTCGGACGAGGTCATGAAACCTCACTCCTCACTGAAACCTCTACCTCCTAATTCCTCTCTTCCTGCTGAACCTCCAGTTGAAATACGACCTTCATCCACACAAACACAGCGCCTTGTTCTACCAAGACAATCCTCTCCTTTCAAAAGTGGTCACCTCATCGCAGTTCCACTAGCTATAGGAAACGATATGAAAGGAATACCATTACCTCCAATACACCCTACCTCACATCCGGGTCCTGGATACTCTACAACTATTTCACAACCCACCCGACCTCCCCCTGTTTCTACCTCTACTCCTAAACCTCCCGTCAAGGATACCGAGCAAAACAGGTACCATATATAATAGTAGATTAATTAGAAACTCTCATTGTTTAGACCGGGTGTTACATCAGCTCCTAGTTATCCTAGTAGTAGCTCCTGATATAGGGCACCTGATATAGGGCTCCTGATATAGGGCTCCTGATATAGGGCTCCTGATATAGGGCTCCTGATATAGGGCTCCTGATATAGGGCTCCTGATAAAGGGCTCCTGATATAGGGCTCCTGATATAGGGCTCCTGATATAGGGCTCCTGATATAGGGCTCCTGATATTGGGCTCCTGATATAGGGCTCCTGATATTGGGCTCCTGATATAGGGCTCCTGATATAGGGCTCCTGATATTGGGCTCCTGATAAAGGGCTCCTGATATAGGGCTCCTGATATAGGGCACCTGATATTGGGCTCCTGATATAGGGCACCTGATATAGGGCTCCTGATATAGGGCTCCTGATATAGGGCTCCTGATATAGGGCTCCTGATATAGGGCTCCTGATATAGGGCTCCTGATATAGGGCTCCTGATATAGGGCTCCTGATAAAGGGCTCCTGATAAAGGGCTCCTGATATAGGGTTCCTGATATAGGGCTCCTGATATAGGGCTCCTGATATAGGGCTCCTGAAACCTGATATAGGTCAGAAACTCTCATTGTTTAGACCGGGTGTTACATCAGCTCCTAGTTATCCTAGTAGTAGCTCCTGATATAGGGCACCTGATATAGGGCTCCTGATATAGGGCTCCTGATATAGGGCTCCTGATATAGGGCTCCTGATATAGGGCTCCTGATATAGGGCTCCTGATATAGGGCTCCTGATAAAGGGCTCCTGATATAGGGCTCCTGATATAGGGCTCCTGATATAGGGCTCCTGAAACCTGATATAGGGCTCCTGATATAGGGCTCCTGATATAGGGCTCCTGATATAGGGCTCCTGATATAGGGCTCCTGATAAAGGGCTCCTGATATAGGGCTCCTGATATAGGGCTCCTGATATAGGGCTCCTGATATAGGGCTCCTGATATTGGGCTCCTGATATAGGGCTCCTGATATTGGGCTCCTGATATAGGGCTCCTGATATAGGGCTCCTGATATAGGGCTCCTGATATTGGGCTCCTGATAAAGGGCTCCTGATATAGGGCTCCTGATATAGGGCACCTGATATTGGGCTCCTGATATAGGGCACCTGATATAGGGCTCCTGATATAGGGCTCCTGATATAGGGCTCCTGATATAGGGCTCCTGATATAGGGCTCCTGATATAGGGCTCCTGATATAGGGCTCCTGATAAAGGGCTCCTGATAAAGGGCTCCTGATATAGGGTTCCTGATCCTGATATAGGGCACCTGATATAGGGCTCCTGATATAGGGCTCCTGATATAGGGCTCCTGATATAGGGCTCCTGAAACCTGATATATGTCATCTGATATAGGTCTACATTTAATCAGTTATTATTTCATTTCAGAGAGAATCTTAACGTTACTAATGAGATGGAATCTGATAATCCAGGTATCTTGAGATTAATAATAAGCAGTTTTAGTTTATTTCAAGTTAATTAAATTCTCAATTATTTAAGTTAATTCTTAAACCACTATCCTTATTGCATGAGCAGATCATAACTCAGCGAACTACCAAAATCTTCTAAAAGAATGAAACATCAACAGTTATCATACCATTAACGAGTTGTTAATTTTAAATTCTATTGATTTGAAGTAATTAATTTTAACTAAATTCTACATTACAAATTTCTGAATAATTCACATTTCACACCTTTCTCCTTAGATAAGCTATACATCTGTCCCATCTGCAACAAAGAGTTTAAAGGCAGCGGCCGGGTCCGGAACTGTAAGATCCATATTAACACAGTTCACCTCAAACACAAGCCCTACAAATGTAACTTCTGCAACGTTCGGTTCGGCTACAAGGACTACATGAAGCGGCACCTGATCCGGCACCACAAGTCCCTGTTTTACTCGTACGGTACGGAGAGCGTACTGGAGAAGTACACCACGTACGATTTAGAAGACCCGGGCCAGCCACAGGAGCACGATAGTATACACGAGGGACGGGACCAGAGAGACACAACGGGACTGTGAACTGGAGAGAGAGAGAGACTCCTTATATGGGCATCACGTGCTGTGTGAGAGAGTGCTGTGTGTATATTTCATATGTTGCTGATTATAAAACTTCTGATAAGAGAGCTGGTGTGATAGAGATAGTTGATTAGTGAAATTGCGAGAATTAAAGTGAACATGATATCCGTGATGTGTGATCAGGACTGTGTGATGTGTGATCAGGACTGTGTGATAACTGAATGTGAGTTGATCATTATCGTCTGCGTGTTCGATAAAAGGGAACTGAGAGCTTTATGCAAATGAAAGTGGAGTGATTGAAATTGTTAGGGGCTGTAAGGAGCTGTAAGGAGCTGTAAGGAGCTGTAGTTTTTAGTGCCTGATATTATTCTTCTTCACTAGCTAAAAAGGATCATGAATAACAATGAAATCTAGTTTATTTATAGATTCCTTATTGTATAGTTAGAGTATGCGCTATTTTAGGACATTTCATCCTCTAGTCGTTTTCGATGCCAGACTTTTTGATTAGGGAAAAAATTAATCCGATGGCTTCAAATTTTCATAAAATAATGATTATTTAATTTGTAAATAATGAAGTTAACTTAGTTAATAGGTATCTTTATCAGTTATCGTTCTCGAAAGTAACAGCTAACTACGAGTACAATTCTATTTTTAAAGGCTCATTCAATTAAGCTTACTTAAGTTATTAATTATAATAGATCCTTGAATAGGCTGTAGCGTAGAGGATCGCCGTTTTCCTTAGTTGCTTGAATACCGTTAAAATATAAATTTTCCATTTGTCGTACTAAAATGATTGTGTATTTAATTAATTAAAACCGCTAAAAGAAGTAGGTAAATTTCCTTGTACTGTAAAAGTCGTTTCAAGATTTCTGGACTGATGTGGTAGACTTATTATTTTTCGAAATTGAAGATGAATTGAGATAATTATGTAATTGATTGCTAAATATTGCCATGCAGTAAGTTCGAATAGAAGGGGACATCAGATCTAAACCTAATGCTGTTGTTATGGGAATGAGAATTTGACAACTTGTTCGTAGCGGATAAAAAGAAGATTGCTATAAACAATTTTGAAACTCCTGTTTTTTTTTTCTAAAAGTCGTTATTAATTGATGATTTGTTGAAATGTCTCCAAAGCGGACTTTTCTTTTATTAAGTATTAATTTATTCGGTAAGTTTTTTATGTCTTGATAATTACGTTATGTTGCTATGTTATGATAAGTCTCGCTACAATATGCTCATATATGGTCATTCATCGTGTCGTTACGTCGCATTTAAAAGCATGGCATGCCCATATTTGGGCATTGCGATGACGTGACATAATGATGGTAGTAAGAACCTCTTAATTAAATAGTTCTTTTACCCATATCTGTTGTCTCATTGCTACTTGCTCATGGATACTTCTTTTATTAATGACATGTTAAGATTGATATGAAATCTTAAATAAAAAAGTACTGATGAATTGTATGCCCTGAATTCTAATTACCTCTTTCTTTGTCACTTCTGTGCTTTAGATACGGATACAGGCCAGGTACAATATAAACTGTGTCTTTTTCAGCTTAATCTAATAAGTTATAACGAATACTCTTAAATAATACATAACAATATTTTAAAGCTAAGTGTGAGGTAGCAAGGTGCTAAGTGTGTCCCTGACGAACCTGAAGGAAGCTAGTTAGCGGATGTATTCCTTGCTATCCGGTCTTGTTAAGTACGTTCTTAAGAAGGACGAGTACTGTGTCTTGATAATAGGACTGGACAATGCTGGCAAGACTACTTTTCTCGAGCAGGTAATGTGGCGAAAGGGGGGGGGGGGAGGGGTTTATCATGTTAATTAGGGGAGAGCCAGCTAGAGGGGGGGGGGGGGGTTATCATGTTAACTAGGGGAGAGCCAGCTAGAGCTAGAGGGGGGGGGGGGTAATCATGTTAATTAGGGGAGAGCCAGCTAGAGGGGGGGGGGGGGTTATCATGTTAATTATGGGAGAGCCAGCTAGGGGGGGGGGGGGTTATCATGTTAATTATGGGAGAGCCAGCTAGGGGGGGGGGGGGGGTTATCATGTTAATTATGGGAGAGCCAGCTAGGGGGGGGGGGGGGGGGGTTATCATGTTAATTATGGGAGAGCCAGCTAGGGGGGGGGGGGGGGTTATCATGTTAATTATGGGAGAGAGCCAGCTAGGGGGCCGGGGGTATCATGTTAATTGGGGGAGAGCCAGCTAGGGGGGCCGGGGGGGGGGGGAGGAGTGCCAGCTATCCTATATATTTCATAGAGGAAGATCAGTACTATAACATAACATGTCATATTGTACAGGTAAAAACATGCTGTAACATAACATGTCATATCATACAGGTAAAAACTTCGTACTGTCACAACAGAGCTCAGTTCCCCCTGGATAAGATAGTACCCACAGTCGGACTAAACGTTGGTAAGATAGCTACTCAAGGAGTAAAGATAACCCTATGGGACATGGGAGGACAGGTCTGTGTACCACTACACACTGTATTATTTGTTTAAAATATTATCTGATTATTATAGAGAAAAGAAATGTGATCTGAGATTATCATAGCAGTGTTGTAACCAATTGTGTCTCCTTCATCTTGATCATACTTATCATGGCAGTGAGTCAGATGTTTAAAAACAATGAAATTACCAAGTCATAATACCCACTTCAGGGTATTATCATAAGTGTTAAAAGTGAAGTTGTGGAGTTTAATTTTTGTTATTTAATTAGGACGCACTGAGGACGCTGTGGAAGGACTACTTTCTCTCCTGTCACGGAGTGGTCTATATTGTGGACAGTGAAGATGAGGAGCGGTTGCTGGACAGTAGGGACGTTTTCTTAAAGGTCTGTAAACTATCTGAATTAAGATAATTAGTAAAATATCGAGATAGAAGTACTCATTTTAAGTTGACGCTGACTATTTGTATTCGGTTATCTCCAATCTTAGTACATACGGTAATCTTCTTAGAAATCCTATAAGTAACATATGTATCGACTATCGAGAGACAATCTGACTAGAAAACAAGCAACAAAGTTTATACATTTAGTAAATTTAGTAAATAAGCCGTTATCCCAGGTAATTTCACATGTGCAGACAAACGATTTGCCTCTCCTAGTGTTGGCTAACAAGCGGGACAGTGACCATGCCGAGGAGATGAAGAAGATAAAGAGTATTTTTAAAGAATGTGCTGATGTTATCGGTCAGAGAGACTGTGTTGTTCTGCCCTGCTCTGCTCTCAAGGTTTGTTTTATTAAACTGTGTTGTTCTGCCCTGCTCTGCTCTCTAGGTTCGTTTTATTAGACTGTGTTGTTCTGCCCTGCTCTGCTCTCAAGGTTCGTTTTATTAAACTATTTTGTTCTGCCCTGCTCTGCTCTCAAGGTTCGTTTTATTAAACTATTTTGTTCTGCCCTGCTCTGCTCTCAAGGTTCGTTTTATTAAACTGTGTTGTTCTGCCCTGCTCTGCTCTCAAGGTTCGTTTTATTAAACTGTGTTGTTCTGCCCTGCTCTGCTCTCAAGGTTCGTTTTATTAAACTGTGATGTTCTGCCCTGCTCTGCTCTCAAGGTTCGTTTTATTAACTGTGTTGTTCTGCCCTGCTCTGCTCTCAAGGTTCGTTTTATTAAACTGTGATGTTCTGCCCTGCTCTGCTCTCAAGGTTCGTTTTATTAAATTGTGTTGTTCTGCCCTGCTCTGCTCTCAAGGTTCGTTTTATTAAACTGTGATGTTCTGCCCTGCTCTGCTCTCAGGTTCGTTTTATTAGACTGTGTTGTTCTGCCCTGCTTCTGCTCTCAAGGTTCGTTTTATTAAATTGTGTTGTTCTGCCCTTCTCTGCTCTCAAGGTTCGTTTTATTAAACTGTGATGTTCTGCCCTGCTCTGCTCTCAAGGTTCGTTTTATTAGACTGTGTTGTTCTGCCCTGCTCTGCTCTCAAGGTTCGTTTTATTAAATTGTGTTGTTCTGCCCTTCTCTGCTCTCAAGGTTCGTTTTATTAAAACTGTGATGTTCTGCCCTGCTCATGCTCTCAAGGTTCGTTTTATTAGATTTTTTGTTCCCCCTGCTCTGCCTCAGGTTGTTTTTTTAAAATTTGTGTTGTTTCTTTCCCTGGGGGCGGGGGCCCTCCTTTTTAAAGGTTCGTTTTATTAAAGGGTTTTTGTTCTCCCCTGCTTGTTCAAGGTTGTTTTATTAAAAGTGGTGTTTGCCTGCTTGCTCTCAAGGTTCGTTTTTTTAAAAAATTTTTGTTTCCCCTGCTTGTTAAAGGGTCGTTTTTTTAAATGTGTTGTTCTGTCTCGGGGTCAAGGTTCGTTTTTTAAACTGGTGTTTCCCCTGTTTGTTCGGTTTTTTTTTTAAATTGTTGTTTGCCTGTCTGTCTCAAGGTTCGTTTTTTTAAAATTTTTGTTCTGCCTTTTCTTGCTCAAGGTTGTTTTATAAAACTGTTTTCCCGTTTTTCGGTTGTTTTTTTAAATTTTTTGCCTGCTCTGCTCTCAAGGTTTTTTTTATTAAACGGTGTTTTTGCCCTGCTTCTTTAGGTTCGTTTTAAAAAACTGTGTTGTTCTGCCCTGTCTGCTCTCAAGGTTCGTTTTATTAGACTGTGTTGTTCTGCCTGCTCTGCTCTCAAGGTTCGTTTTATTAAATTGTGTTGTTCTGCCCTTCTATGCTCTCAAGGTTCGTTTTATTGAAACAGTGTTGTTCTGCCCTGCTCTGCTCTCAAGGTTCGTTTTTATTAAATTGTGTTGTTCTGCCCTTCTCTGCTCTCAAGGTTCGTCTTTATTTAACTGTGATGTTCTGCCCCTGCTCTGCTCTCAAGGTTCGTTTTATTAGACTGTGTTGTTCTGCCTGCTTGCTCTCAAGGTTCGTTTTACTTAAACTGTGTTGTTCTGCCCTGCCTCTGCTCTCTAGAGTTCGTTTTATTAACTGTGTTGTTCTGCCCTGCTCTGCTCTCTAGGTTCGTTTTATTAAATTGTGTTGTTCTGCCCTGCTCTGCTCTCTAGGTTCGTTTTATTAAACTGTGTTGTTCTGCCCTGCTCTCCCCACTTCCCACTGTGGGAGGGGTAAAATTGTACAGACTTCTCATTAGGACCTAGCCTTGTAATATGAAGTTAGTGTATTGTAAAAGTACAGGTGCATATAACTGTTAGCACATTTTTAGATGCGTTCTTGATGCGTACATGACGACGGTCTTAAAATAACTGCTCAATGACCGGGTCCCCCGGTAGTCCCTTCTTCACAGTTGGCACATTATTTACCCTTCTTATCGATTAAATACAGTTCATGGAGCCTTGTTCTGCCTTATTTACTTAAATTTTATGATTTTTGGTTTAGAGTGAATGAAAGATCATAATTTGCAGATCACAGACTAAGTTATTGCTCAATTTTACAAATGAAACATCGATCTATCGTATTCATAAAAATCAATTTATTTTGTTTGAAATCTAACAATTGAATCCGACAGCAAGCCAGTTGACAGCGTAGTCCCTTTTTTCTTTTTGATTTTTGGCGTGTATCCCGGGGGGAATCCAAAACGTCCCAAATGATCCCCAAATTCCGGTCCACGTGCACCCGAGAGTCCCGTTATTCGTTGAGATCAGGTTTTGTAGGTGGTGGTTACGGGGTTGTATTAAATCCACAGTCAGCCATGTCCACGTGCCTAGAAAATGTTCTATCCCAGAACAGTTTGGGAGTTTTGTCTCCAGGGTGCCATGCAAACCAGAGCCAGGGGTCGGGCTATTCATTTGCGTGGGTACGACTTCTTAGTGGTTTTTACCTGTACCCAAAATGAACAGCTGCGTGGTGGGGTTTTGCGGGAGAACAGTTTTAGGGGTTGGTAGGAAATAATTCCCCGAAAGTGGAAAGTATTTATTTATATTGCGTGATGTTTAATACAATAAGTTCGGTTGTGAAGTATTTGGTACCGGTGGGTTTTTGATGAGGAAGGTTTTTGGGAAATGTGATGGTTTTGTACCAGGCCCTTTTGTTCCCGGGGTTAGCAACAAAAATTGTTTTTAAAAGCTTTTTTAGTGTTTAAAAATTGGCGTTTTCTAAAAAATTTTTTAAAAACAACATAAACGCAAAGTTTTTTGGGAAAACCCAATTTTATTTTTTGGGGGGGCTTTTCCCGGGTGAGGGGGGGGGAGTGCTTTTGGGGGGGGAGGGGGCCATTGGACAGGGGCATGGGGGAATTTTTTTTTTTTTTTTCCCCTCCCCCCCCCCCCCCCCCCCAAACCCACCCAAAACCCCCGGGGCCCACCCCCCAAAACACAAAAACCCCCCCCCCACAAAAAAACCCCAAAAACCCCCCCCCCCCAAAATTTCCCCCCCCAAACCCCCCAAAACCCCCCCAAAACCACCTAAACCCCCCCCCCCCCCCCCCAACCCAACCCCCCCCCCCCCCCCCCCCCCCCCCCCCCAAAAAAATCCCCCCCCCCCTTTTTTTTTTTTTTTTTTTTTTTTTTTTTTTTTTTTTCCCCCCCCCCCCCCCCCCCCCCCCCCCCCCCCCCCCCCCCCCCCCCCCCCCCCCCCCCCCCCCTCCCCCCCCCCCCCCTCCCCCCCCTCCCCCCCTCCCCCCCTCCCCCCCTCCTCCCTCTCCCCCCCCCCCCCCCCTCCTCCCCCCTCCCTCCCCCCCTCCCTCCCCCCCTCCCCCCCTCCCCCCCTTCCCCCCTTCCCCCCTCCCCCCCCCCCACTTCCCCCTCTCTTTTTCTTCTCTCTCTCTCTCTCTCTCTCTCTCTCATCTCTCTCTCTCTCTCTCTCTCTCTCTCTCTCTCTCTCTCTCTCTCTCTCTCTCTCTCTCTCTCTCTCTCTCTCTCTCTCTCTCTCTGGCCCAAAGTTAAAGCAGCAACCCTCATACTAAAAGTATTGGGAGAAGAAATAGAGAAAAATAGGACTAGAATACCCGGTGATGATCGAGGAGTAGGCAGTAGCGATTTGCATAAGATAGTTTGAATATATAGTCACCTCTAAACACTCAAGACGCTCTTTAGGGACAACCATATTAGGGCATGTACCAGGATTTAAAGAGTTAGTCTGCAGGTCAGGAACACTTTTAGTGAGTGTATCTTAATATAACACTATGTTGCAGGGTGAGGGGCTGGAGGACGGTATAGAGTGGTTAACTCTACGAATGAAGAATAACGACACGAGACCCTCTAGAGAGAATGGCTGAATTGTTTATCTAATGAACTACTTTAATTACGGAGGTGTTACTTCTTTAATCTTTATATGGTTGCCCCCCCCCCCCCCCCCCCCCCGGCCCCCCTACTTACACTCAGCATTATATCAGTTACATCTCCGTCATTAGATAAAAGACATGTCATTGCTGTAACTACACTGTAAAGTGTTACTAAGGGGAAGGAGGCTTGGAGATGACCTAAAGGGACACTGGCTTGCTTATCATACTTGAGTATATAATTATTAAAACGGACCTTGTAACATTTGGATTCACTTTAAATCACTAATTTCTTGGAAAATTGCTTAAGATTGAAATAAAGACGGCCATAAGTTCCAGTACATCTTTATAATGGTTTAACCTAGATTGTTAGGTGCATTGTGCAGCTCACGATATGGTGTCTGTAAAGGTTATGTAGTTAGGGTTTTTAATAATTGCTTAATTAGTCACTTAGTTGATCGGTTAATGAGCTTTGTTATCGCAAAATATGTTAAAACATGTCAAAGTGTATTAAATATGTTAAATTTTATCATCTGAGCAGATATTGTGCTAGTATTTAATACTCAATTATATTCTGTCTGAAATAAAGGGTTTAAGGTAAGATTGGTTATAAGATAACGTTAACTTATTAGGTTAATCTGTATAAACAACGCTTTGTATTGCAAGAAATCCAGCTTCGTTAAAACGAGCTATTTCGACGCCCAATTTTACCGTTTTGAGTTTTCAATGGAAATTTCATATTGAATTGTAAGATTTTCCATTGTTTTCACTTTATCTCGGTATTCAATAAGTGTTCTTCCTTTAAAAAAAAGATTTGGTGAGAAAATGTAAATTTTGGAATATAAACTAATTTAAAGTCCATTGTTAATTGGAATGATTTTAATTATTGACTGTTCTTAATTTCGTCACTAAAAAGATGCATTTTTTTGTTTTATTTTGGCTACATTTCAACAAATATATTCAAAATTGCATCATCGTGTAAAACGTATAGACAGATTATTTTTGCGTTCATTTTACTGTAAGGTGATTTGTACGAGTTATCATAGTCCTACTACTATATATACAGTATATACTATACTTATTCAGGTAGCCTTCATGAGTTACAACTACAAAAGAGCTATTGCGGGGACAAGGTAATTAATTAATTATTATTAATTACTTATTATAATGACAATTAATTACTTATTATAGTGATAATTAATTACTTCATTAAGAAAATTGTTTCGATTTATAAAATAATACTCGACCACACATTATACAAGCTGCACTTATTTTTCGTGCTCTTAACCGATTGGTTCATCGATGGCACGTGTCAAAACAAACATTCCTCTGAGAAGTCAGTATAGAGTATAGAGAATATATATATATATATATAATAAATAGTTGTTGTTTGGTTTCCCAAAGAGAGTGCTCGACTGCAGTTAAGCAGGAGCATTATAATTCGAACAATTGAAACAAATCAAATTCATATTTCATGGCTGAACTTCTACACAATGAAATAGCGGTTTTGATATATACTATACTATATATATTATATATATATATTTTGTAGCTGTACTCCTACACATTAAAAGTCGGTGTTGATTAGATCTTCGAAATAAGTCTTTGCATCATTTTATTAAACATCGTTATCTGAGATAAAATTGTTCTAAAAGCAACTGGAATATTCACAAATCTTTAAAATAACTTACAAACTAGGAAAGGAAAACAAGTCTTAGGAAGACGTACAAAACTATGTGACTTAAAACGGTACAAAACTAAAATATACTGAGTAATAATCAAACGAAAAGAATGGCTGCGTACATTTTATCTAATCTATTAAAGATTAGTTTCTCGGAAAAAGCTAGATTTCTCTGAATCAAGCAGTAAAAATATATGAATAGTAATGAATATAACACGTCTCTGATAGCAATATTGTAAACTAAACACGGGTTAATAGGCTGAGATCATGTCAAATAAAATAAATAAACTAAACACTAAGCTCCAGCGGATTTAAAAAGGATGTGGTTACTATCGAGGGTGTTCATACCCCCATAACGCTCAAGGGTTTTCAATTGGGTCTGGTAGAACCCCTCTCTAGCTTCCATGGCCTTTTCCCTATCTGCTTGACTTATTTCAGGTTTAAATTCAAGAGCGTCCACTATAATAACAGAAAGGTGCGTACTAAGTGAAGAGTTATATAAGACTACTGAACTAAAATCTAAATCATGATCAATATCTAAAAAGTGATTTACTAACTTACAACTTCTGATACCTTTCTTAATGTGGCTCTTATGATTAGAAAATCTCTTAGGGAGATTAGAAGTAGTATATCCTACATACGACTGTTTACAAGTTCTACACTCCATTAAATAAATAAGGTTATTACTCTGACAAGTTATATATTTAGTAATAGGGAAAACTTGTTTAGAATGGTGACTACTAAATTTGGAACAAGGGGACAGGAAACTTTGCTTACAAACATAGCATCTTCCACAGGCATGGCACCCTGCGTTGTCAGCCTCCCGAACAGCCGGCAATATTGCAGCGTCTGGTTCAAGAAATTGACTAGCAGTGGCTTCTCCATCTCTATCACTGCTTAAAGTTCCACCAGCACGATACTTATTGTGTACAAGCATGCCACCGATAGTTTGATTCTTTCGGTGACTTACAAATACACTGTCAGCACGTACTAGCTTCTTCAAGGCTGGATCGAGATTAAGAAGGTGCTTATACTTGTGAATAATGCTCCCCATGTTGGGAAGTGCTGGATTCTGATCCATCACCATTAGTCGGATCCCAACCGTTCTAAATGGCTATCTCGTTAGCTTTTCGTGTTAAAAGCGATTTCTCAACGGTTATCACCTCTCTAGATGATTCTTAAAACATTTGGACTTCATTGCATTTTTGAAATAAATGCAATGAGGGCGTTTTCGGCCACACCCCTTTTCAGGGTTTCGCGGGTCAATCGAATTTTTGTATTTCAGCCCAGGAAGGTTTTAAAGACTATTCCGATACACCAAAATGTGCCTAATAGCCATATTTATGTACAACTTATGAAGCAACATATACCTTAAAATGCTTCGTTTCGGAATATGGCCGAAAAACGGTTTTTGGCTTGAAGCAGTTCATATTTTCCGTGATTTTTGGCATTTTCGCCTAGGAAGGTCGCAGAGACTATTCTGATACACTGAAATGTACATAATGGCCACATTTATATACAACTTATGAAGCAACATATACCCTAAAAGGCTTACTTTCGGAAATGTGGCTGAAAAACGAATTTTTGCCGAGCGAACAAGACGGTATTCACAAATGGGCTATTGGACTGTTAACTAAAAAGGTCTTAAAGAAGATTCATGAGGAACATAGCATTTGTCACAAGATGTAAGATGACTCACTTTGTGTCCAGAAACACCTACAAAAATTGGAGAATGATCTACTTTATTGGGCATCTCTCTTAATGCTTTAATGGGCCAGGACAGCAGCATATTTGTGGCTTACGAAAGGGCAATTTTTCAAAATTACGGTTTCTTAAGGTCAAAGGATCGGCTGCTAACTGCAAATTGTTCGCAATTGCCGACTCATGTACATCATATACTCAAAACCGCTCACTTTAGGAGTCATTAGTAAATAACTACTACATGATTTGTGACAACCCCAACAATTTTTCCTTGGCACCAATTTAAATAAAATGTGTTAATAATTAATTCGGCTGAACCAACACATAGCTAGAGCCACATTAACGTTGTTGACCAAAATTCAATTTCAAACTTTTTATTTATATTCATGCCATGAAACCATGATATATGTACCAAGAATACCGCACCTAAAATAAATCGGCACTGGATCCGGGCCAGATTGTTGCTTGACAGCTGACCAGTACCCCACTTTAAGTGCCTCGACCAATATTGATCTGTAATCCCTGGATTGAGATCTGTTGGCCGCAGTTTAATTTAGTTAATTTCCTATAATACCGCAGTGGTTTGGTTCTCACTTCAGAATGACCCCATATTCTTTTTTTGTCGCATAGATTTTCCCATTGTATGATAATGCGTGTCATTCCCTCGTTTTTTAATCAAGTGGTGACTGGCTAGTTCTTCTGTTAATACAGCTGCCTCGAGATCTTATCTGGGGCATGGGCACTAACTAAGAACATTAGAACTGTAATTCTAGAACCTCATATTAAGGTTACTTGGCAGAATAGCATTAGCAGGGTTCGAGATTTGACTGAGGGCATTCAGGTAACATACCAGGTTCATATCACCAGTTGAGGTGGATCTTAATTTCGGCATGCAATGCCTTATAAATTATAAATATAAGCTTATAGTAGGATCACGGGGTTCATATAATAGAAATTAGAAGGTCTCGAGATGCTGATTTAGCTATTTAGGTTTCACATGTGAAATTTTTCCAGCTTTGGGTAAAGTGCTAAAGTGGATTTTAGAGCGGGGAGGGGGTCTAAATGACCAAAATCTGAACGATCTCTTAACTTACGGGGCACTAGTACTACGGGACAAGGGACAGATATCGGGCCTAGTAGCTGTTTTCTAATGAGAGGCTGGGGTATGGACCTAGATGGTCAACGTGAGGATAGCATGAGGATTTAGGATGCGTTGCCTGCCTTTCGTGGGGTCTTGTAACCCCGAAAGCTGGTATATCTTATCTAAATTAACCTTGGTTAAATCCCGTGCTGTTTCGAATATATCATTAGATTTATAGGTCCAATATCAAGCAAAAAAGTCTGATCTCCGGTACTGCAGATGTTACACTTACATGATCTCCGACGCAATGATCTCCGAAGTCCGATCTTAAAGTTGGATCTCAGAGCCAAAAAGAGGAACCTACGCCTTGGTTCCTCTCTTTGAGAGTCAAACAGGAAATTCGGTGTTATCCAACTCAAACTCGGATTCGTAGCACAATTGAAAAACCAAAGAATAAAAATCTGAATGAATTTCCCGAAATCCTAAAATTATATCAGGTTGTATTCGATTCAGTGGCCCAAACTCCAGTTTGGGCTTACGAGACTTAAGTTCAAGTCGAGGAACACTTTGATTAAGCATGATCCTTGTCTAGTTGGAGTTTTCGCACATCATGCATCTACTAATCACTCCTAAACTGAGAGTTTTAGAGTCGAATCTCGAACCCTGCCATTCAGTCAAGTAATCTTAATCTGAAGTTCTAGAATTACAGTTCTAGTGTTCTAGTACTATTGCATTAGTGCCCTAGATAAGATCTCGAGGCAGCTGTAATAACAAAAGAGCTAGCTAGTAACCACTTGATTAAAAAACGAGGGAATGACACACATTATCATACGATGGGAAAATCTATGCGAACCAAACCACTGCGGTATTACTATTTAAATGGTAAATGAGCTAAATTAAACTGCAGCCAACAGATCTCAATCCAGGGATTACAGACCAATATTGGTCGAGGCAGTGGAGTCAATTATAATTATAAAGTGGGGTACTGGTCAGCGATCAAGCAACAATATGGTTTTATGGAAT